AGTGTTTTGCATATTTTTATAATAATGGCTTTTGTATAGACTATAATCCCCAAAAGCTTTAAAAAGTATATGGTATAAATATATATAAAATGATAGTGTGGATAAATTGTTCTGCCATTCCTTACTAGATGATGTTGTAACGCCCATCTTCAGAATGATGTTTTTATGAAAGAAACCTAGTTTGGATTTTTATTCATTCTCTTTTTTGCCGTACTATTACTAAATGCCAGTGGATATAAGCAAGGATTTGCATGCCTAGGTTTTCACTTGTCGCGGATGGGGAAACTGGAGGATATGGGTGGTGGTTGTTTGCTTATTTTAGGGAAAACCTTAAAAAAATGTAGAAATGCTAATATTTTTGTCTTTCCTCCATCTTCTCAAATAGATAATCTTAAGTGACTTGGTATTATGAAGGAAGAGTCTATTGCACAAAAATGTTTGATCTTTAAATCCCTCAAAATGATGTATTAGAGGAAGCCAAGTTACTGGTTCGGAGATTTCATATTGAAGGATGAACAGTGAAGAGGAGTTCTTTGATGCTGTTACGGGTGAGTAGAAGGCATCCTGCAAAAAAAAGCCTTAATGCTGGCTTTCCTTCTGCCTTGAATAAACCGTTTAGCATTTGTGCCTCAGCTTCATCATCTGTAAAATGGAGATAAACTCAATAGGCTGAAGAGGCTTAATGTTTGTAAAGTACTTTGAAAATGAAAACTGTTGCATAAGTCCTGAGTAGTGAATTTTAACTTGAGTGGAGAATTTCCCCCACAGTGTTGCAATGGACAGTGTTTTCTAGTTAGAATTTAATTATAAAACAATGCTTCTAGTGTAAGGAGCCAAAATCTTTGCTGTCCTGTATTGAAAACCTGAACCTCTTGACACGTGAGCCTTATCGACGTCGGAAAGCACTTTTCTTTGAAATAATGAGAAACACTGGTTATTTGCAATAGCTGTATGTGGTTTTAAAGGTGAACTGAAATGCTTTTCAAAAAGAAATGTATATTTTAAAAAAAACTTTTAAAGATCCTAAATCATCAACCTAATGTTACTTGAATGATTTTTCAAGTGTTAAGAGTGGGAAATATTGGAAGCTGGGCTGACTCGGGTCGTTTGCTGCGTCTTTGCTGGAAGTGTGAAGTCATGCAGTAGACATGAGAACTCCTCTAACTCTGTGTCTATCTTATTGTTATGCAAGAAGAAAGATGATGGAGGGAAGAGAAGAAGAAAGTCGAGGCAAAGGAAGCTTCAGCTCTTAGGGTATGCCTACAGTTCATAAGGGGGTTTCCACTGATATAGTTAATCCATCTCTCTGAGAAATGGTAGCTAAGTCAATGGAATAATTTTTCTGTTCCCCTAGCCACATATGTACCGGGAGTTGCGCCCACCTAACTCCATCATACAGGTCATGAAACTTTTCACAGCCCTGATTGATGTAGTTAGGTCAGGCTAATTCTTAAGCATAGGCCAGGCCTAAGCTCTTTGAAGTGATGAAGCCACATTCCAAATCAAACTGCCTTTTAGTGTGAGCTTGGAATCAGTGCTTGTCAAGACTGTTTCTCACTCTGGCATGATGAATGCAGAAGTGGGGGCCCCGCAAGAGTGCTCCAAAACCTTACCTCTATAGGCTCTGGTACAAAAACTCCCCCCCACAAAATCCTAATACCCTGATTTTGGGGGACCTGCTGCCACCAACCAAGTAATTCCAAGAAAAATCAGGGAAGAGATCACTTGAGAAATCCCCCGGGTACCCCAAGCTCTTTTTCCCCCAAAAGAGCTTGAAAAAGAAAAAACAAGCTGCAGTCTGTGGTAGCTGACCCTTCAGTCAGGCATGCAGATACAGACAGACTTTGCAGGACACCAGAATCAACCAATACTGGCTAATTAGAAAAAAGAAACAAAATTTTAATATCAAAATAAAACTACAGTTGCAAACATAGTAAAATGGCCGGATGGAAAGAGCCACCTATTGAGATAGATACTCAGGGAAAGTCCCTGGACTAACAGCTTTAGTTACAAAAGAAAAAAAAAACATGGTTAACAGCTCAGACATTATTTCCAAATCCCCAAACAAGGAAAACAATAAATCCTGACGGACTAGCTAAACTTTTCCCTACTTACACCTTGTAGAAAGTCCATTCTTGGAGAGGGAAGTGTGTCTCATCTCCGTCAATACATTGGAGAAAGCACTCTGCCTCTCAAACAGGGAACAGAGAGAGGAAAAAAACCCTCTTCCAGTTTGAAATTCCTACCTGCATTGTTATTGGCTGACCACCCGATACCTGGCTAGGTACAGGAGACATTAGTTAATCCCTTAGAGTATGTCTACATTTGCTCCCTAGTTTGGGCTAGGGATGCAAATGTAGGTGACCGAAATTGCTAATGAAGCAGGGATTTAAATATCCTGCGCTTCATTAGCAAGATCTCGCCCGGCACGCTAGTCCGAATCATAGCTGATTTGAACCAGGAAGTGTGCGCTGGGACGTGATAGTTCGAACGAAAGCCCTTGGTTTGAACTACTGTTACTCATTTTTTGGTTCGAACTACCGTGTCCCGGCGCGCACTTCCTGATTTGAATCAACTGTGATTCGGACTAGTGCACTGGGCGAGATCTTGCTAATGAAGCGCGGGATATTTAAATCCCCGCTTCATTAGCAATTTTGGTCGCCTACATTTGCATCCCTAGTCCGAACTAGGGAGCAAATGTAGACGTACCCTTAGTCACCAGGGCCTGGTCAGCACTCCTGATTATGACAGTGCTTTCAAGATTGGCCTCTCGTTTCAGGGAGGTGGGGCTGCATCGGTTTTCCTGTTGTGAGGTTTGATGCTCTCATACCATTTCTTCCACTGACTACTGCTGTCTTTTCCTCCATCACGTTGTACTGTTTTAGACCTCTGGCATGGTTTGGATGGGGAGCCATGTTCATTGTTGAATTTCTGAGACAGCTTTTTCCTCTTCCTTTGTCTCCCACCAGTGTTATCTTGCCATTAGTATACTGTCTTTTCTCCCATCTAGCCATACCATGTGGTTTGTAACTTGCTGCTCTCCAGGACAGTGGTTTTTAAACTACAGATCATGACCTAGTACTGAGTCTCCGGTGGAGATGCTAAGGCAGGCCATTTGCCTGTCCTGGCACTGCAGACTGAGCTGTGTGCCAGAAGCAGCTGGCAACAGGCCTAGCTCTTAGATATGTGTGTGGAGGGAGGGGGGGAAATGCACAGGGCACCGCGCACTGCCACTGCCCTGAGTGCTAGCTCCATGCTCCCATTGGCTGGGAACCTGCTGCTGACTGCTTCTGGGGTGCAGCATATATATAGTTGTGTAGATGCAGTCCATATAACACAGAGCTGTCCATAATGGTAAAAGTAAAAGGATTGAGAACCGCTGCTGTAGTACATTGGAATGAATCCCAGAGTTTCTATTTAGATCCACCTGTTGGTATGATGGTCTCTCATCTGTGTTTGGATCTGGCCCTTAGGTCTTTCCATAAGTCTTCTACCTCAGCTCTTTGTGCTTGCCCTTTTTGCTGCTCCCAGACCTGTAGGGTATGCACCTGTCACAGACCCTATTGTTGGGCCATTTTAGGTTCTGGTGGGTCCTGATTCTAGCCAATCTATCTTGAAATCTTGACTCAAAGCTGGATGCTCTTAGCAGAACCAGCAGTCTGCTCTTTCCATGGATATGTTCTCTTTCTATACTGATCTTGCCAATAAAAGGGCAGATGTGACCTTCAGATGTACACATGCCCATCTTGTAGCCCACTTTCCTGTGTCAGAGGACCAGGTTACACTTGAGTGCCTCCATGGCCCAAGCTATGTTATCCTTCCCCCTCCTATGAGGAAATAGCTCCAAACACACAGGAAGAGCCTCTCGGCTGTAATGACTCAGTGTCATAAGCATAGACATGATGTCTGATCATCTTCCATATGGACACTTGCTCTGGAAGAGAATGGATGCCAGTCTGCTGGGGTGGGGAACCTACTTTTTTGTCTAGGCTTCTTCAATGGGGAACAGACACTTCACCGAGGACCTGTGTGATAGAACTGTGTGTTGCTCACTTGTCCTTGCAAATTTGAGAATTGCTCTTCATCCTGTCCCTTCATCCTCTTCACCTCTGTCCTGATTCATCCTTGGTAAGTGAATGGTTGTTACACATGTGAGCAGGCATTGAGGAGCCCAGAGCTTGTTACTCGGGGCACAAATCTTTTAATTTGTGTTTCTGGGTGGAGAATAGTTTTCTTGCATTTAAGGGCTACGTTAGGGAACTTTTATGCATAATTCTAGGATGTACAAGGGCAAGTTAGTGTGCAATATGCTGGGGTGCTTTAGATTTTACACTCCTGCTAGTGGAGATTCAAACATCGTGTAGACAAGCCAAAAAATTCTTCAGGGAAATGATGCAGGATGGGGAACAAATTACTCTGATCACTTGTTTCTTGCCCTGGTTACTGTACTTTTTTGGCTCTGTCAAGCTTGTCCTGGATTCATTGAGGACTCTTTTGCTGTCTGGACCTGCTGAAGTTAGACTGTTTTATTCATGTGATTTGCTAGACTTCAGGTGAATGGATCAGATGTGTTGAGTGGAAGAATTGCCATAGAAAGAGGAGAGTGTCTGGCTAGTTGCTGCAATGATTCCATCTTTGCCAAAGAGAATGGTCTTGTTGACAGGCTCTTTATTCCAAAGGTTAACCCTGGGTATCGTGAAATCTCCTTCAGCTGTTGTGCAGGCACTAACCTCTCATCCTGGCATGTGCCTGAGCAGGTTGCTCTTCTCTTCTTATAGTTAATTGTTGTTCAACTTAGGTCATTTCTCTTTGCAGTGGGGAAGGAAGGGGGAGGATAGGCTCAACCATCAGCTCTTCTGTCGCTGGCTAATTCATGTTTGTTTTTACAACTGGGTCTGACTATAACAGCACATTCTGCCTCTGGTTGTGGGATCCTTCAAACTGTCTTGTGAAAGGTAAGCCGTGCCTCCTGTTGAAAGCAGCTCAGTACAATTGCTATATGTAGAAACTAGATTTCTTTCAACAGATGGGGGAGTGTTGACCTCTGACAAAATATAATTTCTGTCAGTTGTATTTGTCATGGTCTAGCATTTGGGTTCTCTCCCAGCTGCTCTTTCTAGGTTTGAAGACTCTTGGTAGTCTTGACATCATGAGTTTGATTTTCTTCCTGTCTAGTACCTGGAGTTCAAACTTGGGAAGTTGATGACTGATAAAAGGGGTGGCCTTATGCCATATATACTCTGTGACTTGTGGAATATTTTGCCTCCTTGCTTCCTGGTAGGTAGAGGAATAACATAGTCTGAATGGGCTGATTTTCCTTTGCAGGATGGGGAAGAAGAAAACTATGAAAAACAGAATTACTGGTAAGTCATTTTTTGTTGAAATGGATTCAGTTCTGACCATGTCTAAATATATGTTGTGTGAATGATTTTGGATCTACACTTAAAAAAAAAAAAGCATTTTGGTTCACCTTTAAAGCTTATAGTTTGGAAGTGGTATTAGAGGATTAAATTGATACTTTACCACTGCTGCCTTCAGAATCTTTTTATTTCTTTTTCTCCTCCAAAACTCCACACGTGATTTGTCTCGCACCTTTTTACAACAGTGTGTCTATCCTGGAACTAATGTCCATCTGGTGAATGCCTCTGTTTTGGAAGCATTAATTAGTGATGTCCAAAGAAGAGAGATTTCCTAAAAGACTATATTATTTCAAAAAGTCACAATCAAATATTGTCTGTCATTCCCCTCTCAGTAACATGCTCTGGATCTTCCTTTTAAAAGCAACTTTTTAAGCTTTTCTAACAGTCCTAAAGTTTTCTATTCCATTTTTAAAATTCAGAATTACATGTAGACAATATTTGGCCAACAGTTATAAAACTTTCTCAACTGAATTACAGTAGATAAGCTTAACAGCTTTTAATTACTGACAATATACCTGTGGAGCTGTTGTTGTATTTAGTGAGTACTTATCTGTGCTTTCTATGTTAAAATGTAGATTAAAATTGAGTGCAAATAATCTGACAGAGCAGATTTGAGTGTTTCTGATGTAGTAGTTATGATAAGTTCCACTCGAGTTGTGGTTGAAGATTTTTTTTGCCTGTCCTCAAAATTGGAATATTTGTTTGTGTTGTGTAGTCATTGATGATGACCGGATGAAATTGTTTTGTTCTTGTGTAATCACCCTTTCTATTTGAATACATACTGACGTACAATGAGAACAGCATGAGTGACTCATTTACTGAGGTGAAACAGAATGATTGGTATGTAGGCACTGGGATGCTTTTTCAGTTATTCTGCAATAATTGTTCCTTCAAATAAATTGCAAGGTTCTAGGCATAATCAAAGGGTTATAATTCCACAGTGAGATGCTTGTCTGATAATCATACCCTTGTAAACGGCATTGGCCCATTATGGAACTTTCAGGGGGATTTTAAAGGCATGTTTAACTCATTGGAAGTAGCTGGTAAGAGTGATAGTATTTTATGAGATTTAACTACCCTTTTTATTATAAATGATGAATGTCCCTTTTACTATGGACTGGCTAATGATAGGCATATGTTTGAGGCAGGTATTCCAAAGTATTGTTTATTTTAATCACTTGTATGTACATCTATTATTGTCCCCAGTTAAGTGTTAAATCCCATTGGGATGTGTTTGTCATTACATAATTACACACTTGGGAGATTGGGGTGCAGCAGAAGAGATTAATGAGTGACCTCATCCTTTGTGCCTTGTGTTAATTATAAAATAATATCACACCACCAATGCTTCCCTCTGCTTCTGAGATTGCTTGAATTATCATGCTGGGGATATAATTTTTTGTTTCAGAACTGTATAGCTTTCTGAAAGGAATTGCACGAATAGGATGGAAGCACTTCAAGGGTGCTAAAATACAACTGCTGCATTAATTATATCAAAATAATAGCTCTCTCATAGTTCATTAGTATTAAAACCCTTTAATGTTGGACTAAACTCAGATCAAGTTAAAAGATGAATTACTCTTGTTAGACCTGATTCTTATTTCAAAAGCCTGATCTAAAGCAATATTCCCTCTAATCTTTTCCATCCATGTGCAGAATATTTTTTTATGTGCACTGAGGAACCATCAGTAGAAACAAAAACCTAGCTGTGAGCACTCTGCTAATCAGCTGGGTGGCATTTGAATCTCTGCTGAGTGGACACACAAGCACCCAGCTTACAGGGAACGCTGATCTAAAGTTAAAGCGACTCTTTCTCATACAAGCAGAGTGTTAGTTTGCCAGTTCCATAGGAGTTCAGTTGTTGTTGTTTTTAAATATTGTGGGTGGAGAGAATTATGTAAAAGAGACAGAAGAAGGAGGGGGAACATGAGAAAATAATAATGAATAGCTATGCAGGAGAGGGCCAAGGGGGAGAAACTATAAAAAGCAGTCCGGCACCATTAACATCAGTGCTTTCAGGCTGCAGCTGCTCCTGTCAACTTCTGTCCCAGGCTGACCTGTCCGTGCAATTTAAAAAAAAAAATCCTAGATCACTTGGCTGGTGGAAGGAAAGAGGGTGATGCATGGGGTCTAGACTTCATGATTTGTTTTCAACCTCAATGAGCTCCTGTTCTGGTGGCCTTAACTGGAGAAGGACACCTGATCATTTAAGTTTGCTCTTCTGTTCACTGACAAAGACAGATGTTTTAATATTGAAAGCATTTGGGATGTTTGAGAGGTTCTGTTAATACTGATACCCTAAATATCTATCTGTGATTTGAAGGAAGTTAAGAGTCTTGATAGGTGAAGCAGTTCTGCTGGCATGCTTCCTGTAGAACAGGCTGTTATACAGATTTGGGAGTTCCATTTTGGTGTTTATGTGACTTAAGTATGTAGAGTATGGATCAATGGGTGCACTTAAAGTGCCTTCTTTTTCTGTTGTTTCCCTGTAAAATGGAGATCAACTTCCAGATTTCCCCTACCCTCACAAAAAAGTCTTTTAAAAGACTCTTTATAATTTACACTACTTTATTAGACTTCATCAAGCACTCTTTTAGAATTGTTCTATCACAGCATCCTGTAGACCTTGACTTTGTGAACTGTTGTTGCAAATCACATTAGTTCGTGGACTTACACCTGCAGCATAAGGCCTCTTAGCCTCAACTGCAGCTTGAGATTGTGCCCATGTCCCTAGGTGATAGATGTCAATGGCACTGGAGGGGTCACCTGCTTAATTGTAGAAATTGTGCTTAGAGTGGGAACACCTAAAGGGGAATTTGGTCCATTTCCTTTCCAGCATAGTGTGATTGTTCTCAGGGTGCCTGGAACTGGGTCCATGAGTCACCATATTACCTCTGCCTCTACGGGCAGAGCAAACACGCTCTTTCGAGGATCCCTGGATACCTTGTTCTACGAGGAATAAGGGCTCCTCCAAAAGAGAAGGCTTTTCTGCCATTTGGTCTAAACGGGGCCAAATGGCGGAAAAGCCTCTTCTGGAAGAGCAATCGGAAAAAGCTATGCAAGTTCTGCAGCGCAATTTGCGAAGCTTTTTCCAAAAACGGCAATAGTGTAGACCTAGCCTACCTATGCATAACTGGGTGTCAACTCCCAGGAGCTACCAGCCTGTCAGCCTTCCAAACAATCTTCTGTGGACTGTGCTTTTCTTGTTCTCATACCATATTACTTGGTTTAAAGTAGGAATGTAAGCAAGTAGTTGACTAACAGATAAGCTTGGTTTATCGGTTAGTCGAGTCGACTACTTGACCACTATATCAGAGGCAGCAGGGAGGAGGAGGGAAGCAGGAGCTGGTGCTGGGGGGAGCCAGCTTAAAAACCGGTTCTCTCCAGTACCGTCTCTATGGTGATGCCTGCCCCCCTTCACGCTGCTGCCTCTATCAGAGGCAGCAGCGGGAGGGCGGGGGCAGGACAGGCTGCCATGAAGCAGCCTCTGCCTGTGCTGAGCCCAGGCTTGGCTAAACAGTCTCTGTATGTGGAGGGAGGTGTGTCTCGGGGTCCCAGCTCCCTGCTGTCATTCCCCCCCTTGGCAGACAGGAGCTGCTGGACCCTGTGCAAGCTGGGACTGAGCAAGCCCAGCTTAGTCTCAGATTGTGCTGGGTACAGGAGCTACCTCCTCTGTGCTTCTGCATTTTAAATGTAGTAAGAGCTTGACTGCCTGTGCACTCGGCTCTTACTAAATTTAAACTGCAGGGCCGCAGAGGAGGTAGCTCCCGGACCCAGCATGAGCTGGGCCTGAGTGCCTTCCCTTATCAACTAATCGTGTAGCCAATAAAAATGTTATTGACTACACAATTAGTGAATTACCTGCCTCTTAACATCCTTAGTTTGAAGAAACTGTGTATTCCTTATTTCAGTATTTTTCTTTGTATTCTTTTATTTTATAAGGAAACTATACAATAGACTTAAGTCAATTACACCTGTCCCAGTTCACTCTGACTTAGCAATGTCTCTTTGTCTTTTGTCTCTTAAGAATAAAACTATTTGTATAGATAGGTCAATTCCACTTTTTGAAGATCTTTGACAAAGCAGAATCATAGAAGAATAGGACTGGAAAGGACCTATAGAGAGATCATTTAGTCCTGTCCCCTGCACTTAAGGCAGGACATGCAAGATCATGTGGCTGAAAAAAAAATTATAATAATTGCATTTAAATTGAAGCTCTAAAGTAGAAAAGACAGTAGACTTAGTCAGATTTGAAGCAATCGAACAATTCACAGTTTTTACAAATTAATGTTGTATACTTAGCATGATGGAAAAAAACTGGTTGAGGGTCTTGATTCTAGTGATACTTGGTTCTGTATGCTCTTGGAAACTAGATCCAAAAACAAAGATTCTGGACTTGGTGATATTTCATAGTAAAGTGCATTGGGTACATTCAAGGTTTTAAGGTAAGTGTATATACTGCTAATATATTACTAACAGGTGTGCACTGTGTAGAGTCATAAAGTTCCTGAGAAAGTTACTGACTTGTACTTGTCTTATACAGGCTTTGATTCTGACAATTCTTCAGGAGACTTTTCAGAAACAAATCACAAAGTTGCAGAAATGCTTGATCTGGATCCATCGCAAAGCAATAGGACTGGAAAACATAATGGAGAAAGACAGCGTCAGGAGAATGGAATTAAGAAACACAGGTAGATGTGCAGAGTGCATGTTAAACAGTAGATGTAGTTACAATTTCAGAGTAACTGTAACTGTATTTCCCCCTATGTGGCTGCTCAAGGGCACCCTTAAAGGTTCCTGGTTCCTAGCTGTAACCTTGTTTGAGCAGAGACCTGCATCTCGTTCCCTTCTGACTTGGGATTTTAAAGCTGCACGGCTCCCTGGTTTACACTGACATTCCCAGCAAGCTAGGTTGCCTAAACAGGCCTATGTCTGTGCATTACTTCCTCGCTGAAGGCTATAGCCAATGTATTGCCTGCACTTACGAGTAACCATGTAGCTCCTAAGCATGCAATTTTATTCTTCAACATTACAGAGAAAATATACCAAAACACAAAAATTACTACAAGCATGCTAAAAAATTTACCAGAGGTCACAGCCAGTTCCAACCTAGGGCTCTGCTAAGTTGGTCCTTCAAAACCCACAGCTGTTTCTCACCATCATTACAAGTTCAAATTCATCTTAGATCTAGAACAAGAACTTAAATTGGGCAGGTTAGCTGCTGCTTTATTCAGTTTGTCTTTTTTTATCTTGACCTCCTGCAATAGATAATCAGCAGAGAGTGGCCCTTTCCTTAGTACATAGTTAAGACTGGCTTTTTACATCACCAGGCAATCTGTGTTAACTTCTCTGGGGATTCTCCAAGAAATCCACTTAATCCATATTGTCCCAGAAGTCCCTACTTGTCTAGCACATCTTCAGTGTAACTTTTGAACTCCTAGGTCTTATATCTGTCATATATCCCACCTAGAGATGTTTCATGTACTATAGGTCCACAGTAATACATACACTTAATACAATAAGGTCTTTCAAGGATATTGTAGGAATTTGCCATCACTCTGACAGATGCTAATCACAGCGTCTGCTTTTGAGAAGTTTCTGAGGGAATCTGTCTCTTTCACCCCAGCCAACTCTTACCATCTTTGGTTTTCTCCACTTATGTGCATCTGACTTCTACCCTTTTCAGCACATCTCAGTGGAAAAGGACCCGTTGGGCCGGCCTGTTGATCAAGACTGAATATAATGTTAGGCAGCTAGGTAGGAAAATCTGGGTAGAAATGCTGACAGGTTTTTTTCAGGTGCTCTGTGTGAAATTGTCCAATAAGTCACTTTAATAAAATAAAAGGTTTGTATAACATACCTCATCAGAATACAGTGCAAAGTCCAGGGAGGAAGGGGGTGCCCCTTAGCTTAGTTACAGAGAAAATAAAATTTTGTATTTCTTCAAAGCTGACCATTTCATGGTCACGCCCTTTTGGATCCGGAGGGAAATCTCCCTTTTCTCTCATGGCTCTGGAAACAGATTTGCTCTCTTGTGTTCAAACTGAGTGTTCCAGTCTTCATCCCTATTTTCCCCTAGTAGTCTTCTGAAAATAAATACACACAATAGGTGCTGGTAAACATTTGCATTCCCCTAGCCTGCAGGTGGTGGTTGAGGAAGGAGAAGAAAGTCCTTTGACCATGTTAAACAGTTGTCTTTCAAAAGTTTAACTTCTTGGCTCCAGTGTAGCATTTCCCAGAGCACTTTGTCTGAATGTAACCAGTTTGTACAAGAGCCTTGCCATTAAACAGACTGGATCCTTGGTATGCATTCCTCTTTCCCATCATCTCCAGTAAGAAAATACAAACTGACAGACTCCAGAACTTTTGTCAGAGTGCCATGTCAGCCCATGTAATAGTGGTTTTCATTGTCTCCTTCCCAAGGTCCATGCTTGAGCCATGGATGCTGCTTTCTGGAAGTTAGGTTAGATGTGCTTGCAATATCATTCGAGCCTCCCTTCCCTTTCCCTCCCCTCTGCTTCCCCCCATATGCCAGGGCAAAGGAGTTGCAGCTGTATGGGCTAAAGAGGACGTGTTGTACCTTTTTATCTGGCCCAGTTAGGAATACCTGGAAAAGACGCTACAGTCCTAGATGCTAGTGCTTTCAAAGATTGTCTCCTATAGGAAGTTGTTTTGATTGTGATGTGTCTCTGATAGTGGTGTTTCATTGGAGAAGTGTTGCCAGATTCGGGGGAGGGGTCCTCTAGAACAGTGTTTCTCAACCGTTTTTTATAAAGTATCTCTTTAAAAAAAAAAAAGTTAAGTACCCCCTTTTTAAAAAAAAAAAAGTACCCCCAGTAGCTACAGTTTTCAGACACGCGCATTTTTTTGTGCATTTCTACCATTGCAACACATTTGTTTAAACAACTTAATCGTAGCTGGGTGGGCAATGAAATATTTGGACATAAAAAGTACAAAAAAAAGCACTGTAAAACTTAAAACAAAAATTCAGTTTTCTCCAAATTTCAGTTGTGTTGATGTATCCCCCAGACTTCTCTGGAGTACCCCTAAGGGTAGTTGTACCACTGGTTGAGAAACACTGCTCTAGGAAACTTACCCATTGCAGAGATTTGGGACAGCTTGTTAATTTCTGGAGATAATATCGGGGCTGCAGGACAATGAGAGATCTGGGGAGCTTCATGGATTTCTCAGGGATCTCCTGTAGGTTTTTCCATGGAAGGGGGTGGGAATGACCTGGCCCAGTAACAGGTGAACTCTAATTTATTCTTTGGATAAGGGCATAGCCTCCTGGCATTTGTATCATGAACACATTATCCCTTACCTTTCTCTCCTATCTGGATCACCCTGATTTAAGGGAAAGAACTCTTGGGGGGGAGGGGAGGGAGAGAATGCACACTACACATGCTACAAATTCAGTATACTAAGGACACTATTAAGTGTGCCCAATAGTTCAGTGTGCTGCAAGGCAAGATACCCGAGTTCTACTCCCAACTTGGTCACTGTGTGATCATTGGTAAGTCACTATACCTTCCTTGGTGCTTCTGTAAAGTGTGGCTTACCTTTCTTTATAAGATGCTTTGAGATCTGTAGATGGAAAAATTGTTTTATGTAAGGTCTTTATTAATTATTCTAATGGCTTTTTCCCCCTACAGAACATCATTACCTGCACCAATGTTTTCTAGGAGTGATTTCAGTGTGTGGAGTATATTAAAAAAATGCATTGGACTGGTAAGTCACTTGTCAACAGGCAGAGGAGACCTACCTTTGATTCCCCAGTACTCTTAGCAAAATGTTTATCTTAAAGGGAGGAGTATTGGTTTTGTATTTCCATCTTAAAGACACCCAAACAATGGAGTATTCTACTTGTGCTGAAGAACTTGAAAGTAATGATAGATAAAAGTGAAATTGACTAGTTTCAGCCTTAGAAATGCAAAAATAAGAAGCATAAATGATACATTTTCAGTTCTCTGTCATGTAAGATAGTGCTAACAATTTGTTAGAACTCTTTAACTCTGACTCTTAATCTTAGTGTCCTTTAGTAAACTGAGGATTGATAAGCATGCTGTTTCCAAATAATATAGTACTTGAAGTTTAGTCAGAGCTGTTTATATTGACTTGAATAGATTAATTGGAGAAATATTTTCCTTATCCCAGTAGTTGGGTATGTTGAACTGATAATTTCTTACCATTTTACAAGTAATAGTTGGGTACCCACAGGGTATATCTATACAGCAGTGTTATTTCAGAATAACGTCAACTAGCTGATGTTATTCCGAAATAACTGTCCGCGTCTACACTACTAGCAGTTATTTCGACATAATGTCGTAATAATGTTGATCTGGAGGACTTCTTAATCTGACTCTTGTAATCCTCATTTTATGAGGAGTAAGGGAAGTTGGAGGAAGAGTGATCTATCTTGGATTTCTTGCTGCGTAGACAGTGCCAAAAGCCGAAATAAGCTTATTTTGACATAGGCTACACAATTGATGTAGCTGAAGTTGTGTAGCTAATTTTGGCTTTTGCCTTGCTGTGTAGATGTGCTCTAAAAGACTCCTTCAGACATCTTCAGAGTTGTATTCTTCAGCGTGGGTTAAACAACATACAGTTACATAGCGCTACTTGCCAGTACGACATTTGACAAAATATAATATGAGGCTTTATTTTCATAGAATCATAGAATACTAGAACTGGAAGGGACCTCGAGAGGTCATCAAGTCCAGTCCCCTGCACTCATGGCAGGACCAAGCACCATCTAGATCATCCCTGACAGGTGTTTATCTAACCTGCTCTTAAACATTTCTAGTGATAGAGATTCCCCAACCTCTCTAGGCAGTTTATTCCAGTGTTTAACCACCCTGACAGGAAGCTTTTCCTAATGGCCAACCTAAACCTCCCTTGCTTCAATTTAAGCGCATTGCATCTTGTGCTATCATCAGAGGTTAAGAAGGATAATTTTTCTCCCTTCTCCTTGTAAATACCCTTTTAGGTACTTGAAAGCTGTTATCATGTCCCTTCTCCACCTTTCCTTTTCTAGTCTAAACAAACCCAATTATTTCAAACTTCCCTCATTGGTCATGTTTTCTAGACCTTTAATCAATTTTGCCTTTCATATAGCTTAGAGAGGTGATGTACCAGGACATCTCTCTTTCAGCTGAATAGGGGAATTTGATTGAATAGGGGAATTTGTAATCTCAATTATGCCCTGTATCTCCATCTAGAGAGTTCAAGGTGTAAACTGAGACTAGAGGGCATAATCTGAATTGGGTCATCTGACTATTCTTGACACCAAGAATTAAAGAACTCTAATTAGCAGGAGTACCACTGTAAAGGACAATTGGCCTCCAATCTTAATTGCCAATCATGAAAATTTTTTTTTTAATCCTTTCAAAAATTTGCAATCACTTACTGCAGTGCTTGCATCTGAATGGAAGGAAAAAATCCCTGTCTTCACAAAGCACCTTTTTACCTTTTTTTCAAAAATGACCTGTGTCTGCTTGGCTAGTAAGAGGTCTTGAGAGCAAAAGAGCCTGGAGCTTGATACATCTACTTGTTTGAAGTTCAGACAGTGGTTTTCTTTGTATCAGCAATAGAGCTACATGAAACTTATTTGGCAAATACTAAATGATCTGAAAAATGCATATTTCAGGGCATTGAAATTATACAGCTCAAAATTTAGTGAATCATTTTGACCCTCTCCAAAGAACGAACGAACAAACAAACAAAAACCCTGAAGAAAAATTCAAAAATATTAGAAGTCTGCTTCGACATTTTGTTTTGATTCAACAGTTTCCAACCCTTTTTGTTTTTCATTGACGAAAAATCAGAACAAATGTTTTTATTTGAAATAAGCTGAACCCAAACAATTTGGCCACCAAACAGAAAAATTAATGATTTTCTCAGCTCTAACTAGGAGGCAGAATAAGAAACATTGTTTAGCCTCGTTTGTAGAGCACTGGTACGAATAGTCACTTTAAAATTTGTGAAAACATTTTAAATCATGTTCCTGCCAGAAAATGGAAGATGTTTCAAAGTACAATAAAGATTGGTGGGGGGGGGGGGGGGGCACTTTCTTTTAACTTCACTGCTCTGACACCCTTGGCGGGCCGTCGCTCCTTTATCTACCTTCACCTCCACAAGAACGGCCACTTGAAGCTCCTGTTGGCTGTGAATTACCATTCCCTGCCAATGGGAGCTACACAAAGTGGTGTCCTATGAACCATCTCCAGCTTACTGCCTACCCTGGTTTAGATGATCAGTGACAATTTTTCAAGGGATCCAGTTCATTATGCTGTGATATACTAGCTAATGCATCATCTGTTGGAAGGAAAGTTTAACCTCTTCTTTACTGTCACAAGACATTGAGTTGCAGTGGGCATTTTTTCTTGGCTGCAATGCTAGATAAGACTCCATTTGGACTCCTTTATTAATACTCCTTATTAGGCTTCTGCTGTATGTGTGGTAGGGAATGACCAGAACCAGGAGTCTGAGCTGGGCTTATCGTGTGTCAGTGAAGACCACTATTGTCAAACCACCCCAAAATTCATCTTGGAATCTTGCTCTTGCCTATTGGTATCCTAGAAGCGCGTCAAAGAGAATGACTTTTCCTTTTATCATCTAGGAGCTGTCTAAAATTACAATGCCTATTGTCTTCAATGAGCCACTGAGCTTCCTCCAGCGGATAACCGAATACATGGAACACATATACCTCATTCATAAAGCTAGCAGTCATGTGAACTCCCTGGAAAGAATGCAGGCAAGTGACACTTTGCGTCTCTTCTTTGGGTTTAAAAAGGATTCCTCAAAGTCTCTCTTTATGATGATATCCTATTTGATGAGAGATGGGTATAGCACTCTGTGGATTGGTCATAGGAAACACAAGAATTGTCATACACGATTAAACTTGTGGTCCATCTAGTCAAGTCTCTCTTTACAGTGGCCTGTAGCAGATACTATAAAGGATGATGAAAACATACCTGCAGTAGGTATATACACCACCTTGAAATGGTTGAAGTGGTCACTGGGAAGGAAGAGAAGAAGAATACAATCTGGAACTGAGCATGTCTAGGCCCATCACTTTTTTTTAATCTCTGTTTTTAAAAGTGCACGAATGCCACTATTTTTAGGGAAGATCAGATTATAGGTTTGGTACTGCTTCAAACAAATCCATTTTCTAACTGGCATTTTGTGAGTTTTTAAGAGTGGTGTGGCAGAACCAGGCTTTCTTTCCCATTCTTCCCTCCCACTCCAACGCCCTACATTCTTTGGAATGAGCAGAATAAATATCTCGTTAGGCACATGGTCGAAGACTTGTTAGTGGTGGGCCTAAACTGGAGTGCATCAGGATTTGTGTGTTATTCTGGAACGCTGCTTCTACTTCAATGAAATGGATGAGAAGCACATGGTAAACTATGTATAAAAAATACATACAATGCAGGCCTCTAAGGCAACATGTGAGCAGCACAAAGCAGTGAACAGATACGTACCCTTCCTACCTGCTGGGAGAGACTCACTGCTTTGCCCTCAGCAGGGAGCTGCTGCTGTTGCTGAGGGAGAAGTGCCTCTTCCCACTCCAGGCAGCTTCGTTTGCGAGTCCTGAGCCCTTCTGGGTGGGGCTTATTAAGCAGCTGCAGGGCAGGGCTGCCGCACAGTTTAGAGGGAACCTTGGTGCAGGCCCCATCTATGCAATCTGACAATTGTCCTTTGTACTTGGTAGCAAGATGTATGAAATATAACAAAATAAAAACTTTGTGCTGCTTTGCAAGGGACGCTAATGCAAATGGAGTATTGACATTGGAAATGATACCTGACTGCTCTTACGTTAAACTAGATTTCATTGCGTGGGCAAAAAGAGGGGTGGATAGGCAAAAAAGAATAGTTAATGTCTTTATAAGAGCTGTGTGAAGAGGAACAGACTAGTCACTGTGATCTGGCAAAGTTTGTCAGAGAAAATTACTGTTTTTTGGAAGTGAAATATTCATCCCTCTCTCTCTCAAAACTTATCTAATCTATTATAGTGTGTGTGTGTGTGTGTGTGTGTGTGTGTGTGTGTGTGTGTGTGTGTGTGTGTGTGTGTGAGAGAGAGAGAGATGAATATTTCACTTGGAAAAGTTTTGGTCTGTTGGGATCTGTGAATGTACTAACCTTAGGTCATGTCTTCACTATGCGGAAAGGTCGAATTAAGATACACCACTCCAACTACATTAACTGCATAGCTGGAGTTGACGTTCCTTAATTTGTTTCTACAGGATATCCACAGTGGGAGGCCAATGGGAGCAAACAGTTCCGCTGGTTTCCCTTACTCCTCGCGAGAAGCAGGAGTACTGGTGCCAACGGAGGTGCCCTTTGAGTTCGATTTAGCAGGTCTTTATTAGACCTGCTAAATCGAACCCCAGAAGATTGATTTTGGCAGTGTTAATCTTCTGCTTAGTGAAGACATGGCCTTAAGCACACAGCAAATTCTCTGGCAGAATAAAGTACAATACATGCTCTAAAGGAGTCTCTGTAGCAGAGTGATGGTGTGTTTGTGTGCAGCTGGAGAAATGGGGAACCTCAAAGGTACAAGAAATTAGAGTTCCTGAACGTAGAGGCTTTTTAAAAATCACTATAGCACATGCAAATGTATTGTAAGATACTGCTGTTTTTAGTGAAACTTTCTGAAGACTGCATCCTGCTGTGTTTGTTTACAGGCTGTAGCTGCTTTTGCAGTTTCTGCAGTAGCGTCTCAGTGGGAGAGAACTGGCAAACCATTTAACCCTCTACTAGGAGAAACATATGAATTAATCAGGTGACACTGCATTCTTTAAATGTCAGTGAAGAGTGGTTGGTGGTCAGTGAGTGAAACTTGACTTCATGGCAAATTGGAAAATAATTTTATCTTAGGGAGTAGACTAATTCACTCCAGCCAGTCATACGCATTATAGCCACAACTAGCTGAAATCAATGTGAAATCTGAGAAGATCCTGATTTCGAATAAGAACTTTATTTTTGTCTAGACCCATATTTTCTGAATTGTGCAAGGGCAGTGAAGTGTATATTATATTTTTTCCCAAGAGCCACTCCTGACCAGAGATTCCTAATAACTGTAGAGAGTGTCTTACTGATGACATAGTATGAGAGTAGATTGAGACCCTTTCGTCTGGTCTGTTGTCACCATGTAAATTCTATTTGAACTCAGTCTCCCAGAGCTGGACTACTATTGCCCAGCAAGCTTTGGAATTGCCATCAGTTGCCCAAGTGAAACTACTTCATATGCATTCCCTGATAGATAGAGGTCAATTTGTGGGGTACTTTTTTTGGTGGTGTACATTGCATGTAAGCCTTTATTGATTGTCATACATTAACTATAGGGACTGTGCAATTGAAGTGCAGGTTTGGTCTAAAAATCCTCAGATATATTTTAAAATGTGTGATCAGACTTTATTGTAATTTTAATAAAAGTCCCTTCTTGATAAATGTTGATTACCTTTTTTTTTCCTTGTCTAGGGAGGATTTAGGCTTTAGGTTTATATCTGAACAGGTCAGTCATCACCCACCTGTTAGCGCATTTTATTCTGAAGGCCTCAATAAGGACTTTGTTTTTCATGGATCAATCTACCCCAAATTAAAGTTCTGGGGGAAGAGTGTAGAAGCAGAGCCCCGAGGAACAAT